CCAGCTGAACTTTTCACAAGTATAATGGAACAGAGATACTTTTAGACATACTTAGGGAGCCATGTAGGTAGGACATGTTCTGCTAAATGAGAGAATAAACCAACAAGAGGAAATAAAAGGTAGGGTACTTTTTTTTTTTTTTTTTTTTTTTTTTTTGTTTTTTTGAGACAGGGTTTCTCTGTGTAGTTTTGATGCCTGTCTTGGATCTCACTCTGTAGACCAGGATGACCTCGAACTCAGAGATCTGCCTGGTTCTGCCTCCCAAGTGCTGGGGTTAAAGGCTGTGCTACCACCACCCGACTAAGATAGGGAACTTTATGTAGCTTGGGCTACAGCACCACCAGCCTAGAGTGCAGGAGGATGGACAGCCTGAAAGAGCATCCTGAGGGTCACAGGTCACAGATATGTCGAACAACTGCTTAATTGACTTAGTTAGGGTTACTATTGCTGTGACGAAACACCATGACCAAAAGCAAGTTGAGGAGGAAAGTGTTAGAATTCCTAGCCACTCCCCCAGCTACATGACCACTTTCGCTGTCCAGTAAGTAGCCAGGAAAGATGCTTAACTATCCTAGGGCCTTATGTCCTATGTAACCTGTGTGCTGTGTGATCACATCATCTGAGCGAAGCGTGGTCACGCAATCTATGCACATGCATGGCATAGCTACGTGAGCCCATATGTGCATGTGTGTGGGGAACCTATAAAAGTTGGTTCCACCTATTCCTCCCCTCTCTTCCTGCATGGTCATTTCATAGACCATGCAGGAAGAGAGGGGAGGAATAGGTGGAACCCCTTCTATTCCCTTCCCTTAATAAACTCTTATAGTGGGTTTCGTTGTACCTTGTGTCTTCTCTCACTTAATAAATAACATTACACCGCTTAATAAATAACAAAGATGGTTTATTTAGTTTACACTTCCACACCATAGTCCATCATTGAAGAAAGTCAGGACAGGAACTCAAACAGGGCAGGAACCTGGAGGTAAGAGTTGATGAGGGGCATGGAGAAGTGCTGCTTTTTGGCTTGCTCTCAATTGGCTTGCTCAGCCTGCTTTCATATAGAACCCAGAACCACCAGCCCCCTTCCCACCATGGACTGGGCCCTCCGATATCAATCGCTAATCAAGAAATGCCCTACAGGCTTTCCTGCAGCCTGATCCTTAGAGAGAGATTTTCTCAGTTGAGGTTCCCTCCTCTCAGATGGCTCTCAGATGACTCTGGTTTGTGCCAAGTTGCCATAAACGTAGCCAGCATAATAAAAAATTAGTACCTGTTGTAATGATGGCTGACAGGACAAGGCTAACAAAATGGTAGGATCAGATTGTAGAGGGAGGTCAGCAAGAAACACTGTGTTCTATTTGGCTCTGCATGCCCCACAGGATTGTTCAAAGGCTGGTAAGGGGTTTAACCACACAAATAGAATTTCTGCTGAAGTCTACTGATCATAGAAGTGAACGAGTGGGCCAGGGATGGCCCCACACTGTCTATTCCTCCACACTGGCCTAGTACCACTAGCTTGCTGGTATCAAATCCAAATTCTCATATGTCAATAGATGGTGCCACCCTGTCATGCAACCCTGTCTACACGCCATACAGACAAAACATGTATGACAAGCCCCTCCCGACCTAGTCTCTTTCTGCATCAACACCCAAATCTCCAAATTTGTCACAATAAGCTCTACAAGTTCAAGAGGTAGCATGGACTCACCTTTCCATGGATGATGCTGACACCAGTGTTATAAAGAGCATACAGGATGGGACAGGACCATCTTTGAAAAATGCAACTTGCCACTAAGGCTAATGTATAAAAATCAGCAGCACTTTTTATCATGGCAAAAATGAGAAAATGAAGTGTTAATAGCCAAGATACGTAAGTCTAGATGCTAATCAACAGATGAATGTAGAAAATGTGGTATATATGTGCAATGGAGTTCAACTCAGCAATAAAGAATGAAATTATGTCATTCTCAGGAAAATAGAAGGAATTGGAGATGGTTATGATCAGTGAATGTCAGACTCAGAAATACAATTACCATGTTTTCTTATGTGTAATCTAGGATGGATAGGAAGCAAGGAAGAGAGGGAGGGAGGGAGGGAGGGAGGGAGGCAGAAGGGGATATTTGTGAGGAAGGGACACAACTGGCAGAGAAGCTGGGTGGGAGAGGGTAACGGGGGCAAAGATGAGCAAAGTACAAAGATACACATGTATGAAAATGTCATAACAAAACCCATTATCTTGTATGCTAAAAAATAAAAAGATACAATTGATACTATCATCAACAAGTATCAAATGCTTAGGAATAAGACTAATTAAGGCGGTGGAATATATCTACACAGAAAGCCACGAACACTACTGGGCAGAAAGTGAAGTCCTGAGTAAAAGGACTTCACATGTATTTCACGACTGCAAGAATTCTCTATTAGGCCTGGTTAGTCATGCTCAAATGGGGTTTGTATGTGGGTTAGGGAGGGTGTGTCTTCACTTCTTCTATTAGTTTTCCTCACAAATAGCTCAGTTGCTTGTTTTTTGCTTTATTCTATCCTGTTTTAAATCTGTATTATTAGGCACAAATGGAGAATTGTTACACTTCACTGTTACAGGATCAGCCGTTTATTCAATGTCCCTCTTTACTTATAATCTACTTTGTCTGATATTAGAACACTTAATGAATTAAAGACTCATACAAGAATTCACGGGAGAAGCTCTGAAATATCAACAGGACATGTTATTTCTGGAAGGGGCCTGAAGTGAACCCTCCACCAGAGGACGTAGACACAGCTAGTAACCACGAAGAGTTCAACCTCACTGGTGATTGTGGAAATGTGAAATGAAGACACAATGACCTACAGTCCATGGCTAAAGACACAGTGCGAACAAAACAAAACCAAACCGACAAAAAGACTGACCATTGTCAAGGACTGGGAGATGTGATTCTACACTTATGGGGGAGGCGTACAGAAGGCCTCCACCATACAGCAGAACCTACACAACCAAGCAGCCCCACTCCAAAACGCACCAAAAGACACGCCTAGGAATGTCCACAAGGCTGATGCACAGTGGCTCCAACAGATGCCAACCTAAGCCACTGAGGGCTAGGGAACAAGCACCCAGATAGTTAAATACAGCGCAGGACAGGAACTGCCACCACACCAGCAGACAACCTCACACGCTGAGAGAACAGAGTCCTGTACCTTGCAGGGCACCTTGTAGGTAAAAAGTCTAAACACCGGGGAAAATTACACTAGCCAAGCAGGGAGCTAATAATTGGGAAAAGATGTGAGGCTTTTGAACTGTGATAAATTTCTATTTCCTGGTTTCAAATGACTGCAATCGTGGACTAAAAAAAAAAATCACTGTGCTTAAATTTAAGGGCATTTCTGTACATATGCTGTAATGTAGTGTTTGTAAGGTTTTAAAAATGATTTAACTATATGGGGAGGAGGATGTAGCAGGAAGGGAAATGGTAGGAACTATCCAGAGCTAACAAGTTAGGATAAACAACCCGTAATCCCAGTACTTGAGAAGCAGAAACAGGAGAGTTGCGAGTTTGAGGCCCACCAGAGCTATGCAGTGGGGCCATGTCTCAAAACCAGCCAACCAAACAACAAACAACAGACCTAGTCATAATGTTTAAAAAATTAGGGTGAAAAATGGTCACCTTTGGGGGCAAAGGGTATCGGCTGGGTTGGTGCTGGTGAGTGAGTGAGTGAGTGAGTGAGTGAGTGAGTGAGTGAGTGTGTGCTTCATTTTTTTTGGCACTAACATTCTAATGTGACACACACGACATATTTATAGAGAAGGTTAAAACATTTCCATCTTTCATGAATGAAAAATGAATGATAAACATGTTTAAAACATTGTGAGCAGCTTCTTAAAATTAGTAATGTCAATCTGACAATGGAACTCGGTTACTAGGTGCAGGTCAAGGTTTTAAGGACTAAGCTTAAAGGCTTAAAGTCATGTTAAGAAAACGGTCCCACAGTACTGACCCCATAGTTATAAGGCAACTGCCACTCACCAGCAGACACACTTCATACCAGCAGTGCACAGCAACACTGTTTACACACGTTCTCATTAGATCAAAAGAACTTCCAGACACGGAACATACTTGATTTGCAGAATGCAATCCATAAAGTTCTTTCCATTCACTTTCTGATTTACTGTTCAGGTTAAACTAGCACTTTTCAGTGTAGTTTGTGATAACTATGCAGAGAATGACTGCATAATCATCACGTTCTGGAAACACTGCTAGAGTCAGCCCTAAGAAAACCATAATGTTAGAATACACTGGGATTCTCCTGGAAGACTTTCCTCGCTGCCTCAAATGGTGAGGCATTTTGTTATTAGATTAAAAGAAGGAAGGAATTCTGAGGCAGGCAAGAGGATGGATACTTCTGCTGGCAGCCATCTGAAAACTTGTAATTTCCCTATGCCTTAAAGCCTTTCTCAGTACAGACCATTTTTTAAGGTCTCTTGGCTAGCTGGTAGCATTTCTGAGGTATAAACACCTGGTGAGGATTTTTTTTCTAAGCAATAAAAACACATTAAAAAGTGTACATTAGCTAGGCAGGGTGGAGCAGGTCTTTAATTCTAGCACTCAGGAAGCAAAGGCAGATGGATCTCTGTGAGTTCAAGGCCAGCTTGCTTTACATAGAGTCCCAAGCCAGCCAGAGCCATATAGTGGGACCCTGTCTAAAACAATAAAACAAAAAAATTTAAAGGCCATTTAATAAGGTTCTATAAAGAGGTCATCTGGGTGCTAAAAGCATTTTCTGAATATCAGCATTTAGGCACAAGAATAAAAAAGGACAAGCAGAAGTTGTGTGTAGGTTATCCAAATTTTTTTTTAATCTGAACAGAAAATAAGTACACAAGTTTGCTAAGGAGACACAGTAAAACTGAATGTGATGTATTTCTGGACTCAATACATCAAGGTTATTTTGGTAGCCAGTGATTCTGAGTTATGCAGAAACAAGACTATCAAATGCCCCTTTCCAAACCCGTTTGGTAAAGCCAACTTCATGACCACTTATTGATCATGTCCAGCCTTGGCCCTCCTTTGTGCAAACAACAGGTGTAGTCACTAATGGTGCTCGGGAGCCAGAGATGATCTCTCAACATGGTAATCCAGATACAAAAGTAGTCGTAGAGGAGTCAGAGGCAGCTCCTAGGAAATGTCATTCACCCATGTGCATGATAATGTTTACCATTTTTAAAAACAAAAACCCAGTCAAGGACAGCAGTAACACTGTGTGCTCAGTGTGTTACTTCGTGTAGTGCCTCTACAGTCATATGGGGTTCACTACTACACAACCACATTTCTGATGAACCTGTCCAATTCTTTTCACAAAAATCTAAAATTCTTGTAAGACCTTGAGCTTGACACAGGAGATCCTGCCTGGACACTCCAAACATTGATAAAACTGGGCGTAACGTGTATTAACCACAGGCTGTAAGCACAACCACACACACTGCTGTACACCACCACAAAGAACCAGTCCATAAGACTGAGGAGGTACACTGATTATTTAGCTAAAGAAAACCCAAATGGCTCTCTTGGAGTCAAATGTACCTCAAGGCTTGTATGAGGAATGAGTATAAATCAGCAGCTAAAGAAATTTGCCACTGGCGCCGGGCGGTGGTGGCGCACGCCTTTAATCCCAGCACTCGGGAGGCAGAGCCAAGCGGATCTCTGTGAGTTCGAGGCCAGCCTGGGCTACCAAGTGAGTTCCAGGAAAGGCGCAAAGCTACACAGAGAAACCCTGTCTCGAAAAACCAAAAAAAATAAAAATAAAAATAAAAATAAAAAAATCTGCCACTGGGTAATAAGTGCTATCCTATATTGATGGTATACTTAATAATACATTGTGATTGGTTGGTTCCCATTACCATGGGGCACATAGAAATGAAACTCAAAAGACTATTTTGTTAGGACAGAACAGCTAATGACCCCAGTTTTAAATAGGGTTCTTCATTAAAAGAAAAGATAGAGCCATAAAAGTCAAATTAGCTGACTTCAAATGGTTTACATACCAGGATGAATCAGGTTACACTGATTTAAGCCCAATTTAATTCAGGCAGGTTTTTTAACCACAAGAATAAGGACATTCTTAGTACATAATTAATAATTAAACCAACATATACACAATTAGCAATATCCTATACAATATTAAGTGTTTTAACATGTTTCAATTAGATCCTGTATCTAGTCAATTTGTTGCTTTGTTTTTTTAAAAAAACAAGCTTAACCTTATTTTACAATGCACTTTGCATTAACAAATGCATTCTTGTTTCATCGAAGCGGGTGAAGGTCTTGAGGTGGTCTTTACGATCCGAACTCAACTGTATCTTCTGTGATCTTTTTGAATTCGTAATTGCCTCTACCATCCATGTGCAGGTAGTACTACGGGAGAGAAGGGAAAGTCAGTAACTACGAACAGTCCCTTTGCACAGGCATCCCACAAATGAGGATGCTTCCACAGTTCTGGACTGCAGCTCAGAGCTACCACGACGACGACCCATGCCAGAGCCTGGGCAGCACTGATGCCTCACTGGTCAGCTACCGATCTCCACTTTCAAGTCTTTTGTTCAGGTTTAGCGGAGATGAAAAGGAGCCATTCATGTGCCCTCTGAAGACACAGAACAAAGCCTCCTGTTTTTAGTTAGTGAACCTTTATATAGAAAGATTTGTTTTTTCTGTACTGCGGTTTCTTAGCTGCTCTTTGTGTCCCCCACCCCCTTCACATGAACACGGCTCTTGCCTAGCAAACCCAAGGCCTAGGCTAGATCCCATGGGCACAGGGAGGGGAAGGGAGAAACAAGGGGGAAGTTGGAGGAGAAGGGGAGGATTAGAGAAGTGGAGGGAAGGGAAAGGACTTGTTCTCAACATTACCCCACCAACCCTATGGACACTACCCAGAATACACAGCGCTTCTGTACTATGCAAACCTCAGCACAGTGTCTTTGTAGATTACCGTGACTGATGACAGATCCTACTTTATTACATTCCAAACATGGCTGGCATTATGCCATCTCTCCCTTATAGTCCTGGCCTCTACTGAAAATGCTCCTAAGCTCTTGCCATCTAACTTTTAAGACTTTCTTCTTCTGTCCAACCTGAATGATGACACAGCTCTTTTACCCATAGCCATTACACAGCAGTCACTTAACACCAGAGACCTCACTGCTTGCTAACTCGGTGGAGCTAGAGTTTATGTATGCTATAGCTTTCTAAACTGATGGAATAACACTGAACAAAGTCCTACTGTACACTATAAAACTCAAAGTCACTCTCTGCCTTAAGGTGTAAGCCTACATAGCAACATTCACCATGATATCCAAAACCAGTCACCAAGACCCACATTTTTATGTGAGATAAACATTCATCATCCCATACAAGCAAAGAAATACAGACCTCATGGTGTTTCCAAAGGGATTTTCTGTGTGAAACGGTAAAGAGGGTGATGCCAACCTAATTCAAAGAAAAGGTTTACGTTTACATCAGTAATAGTAAACCACAAATTACACACATTTAAGTTGTTAGGATAACATGGTCAGTGGCTAGTTAAGAATTAATGTCAAAATACATCCCCCTACATTTGATTTATTAGGAAAAACAGTAAGACAAAAATAGCAAAAGGTAGCCAGGCAGTGGTGGGGCACACCTTTAATCCCAGCACTTGGGAGGCAGAGGCAGGAGGATCTCTGTGAGTTCGAGGCCAGCCTGGTCTACAGAGCAAGTTCCAGGATAGCCAAAGCTACACAGAGAAACCCTGTTTTGAAAACACAAAAACAAAACGAAATGAAAAAAAACAAAAGGTTAAAATCAGGACTAAATAGCATAAATGGTCTACAGCCAATTTGCTTTCAAATGCAGGGTCATAATTCGCTATTGCAGTCTTATTTTGGGATGTGCCTTGGAATTTAGACACATTCAGAAGTGTGATCATTCCATCTGTTCTAGAAGGTTCTAAGGCAGAATTCTGCATGTGTCTACAGTAATGTGTACAAATACTGACATTGAGACAAAAGAGTTTAACTCTTTTGTAAGTTTAGATCAGGTATTGCTATGCAATAAGCCTGCTATAAAATTATAAAAAGATGTTCAGTCTTGGTCCAGCTTTCAGGATTTCAACTGCACTTCAGATTTTCAGAGAGGATCAATAGATTCAACTGTAGTTGCTCTGGATCAGTGAGAGCAATGGTTCTCAAATGAAGGGAGATCTTTCTCTGGTGGACACTGCGGCTATGACTGAAGACAATACTGCCATCTAATGGACAGACACCAGAACTGTTGCTAACCATAGTATAATGTCCAGGACAGCCCTTGCACAGACAGCCAATACATGAGGGTGAGAAACACTACCTGAGGTCAGATCTTTAACACACACCTCTTATGTTTGGGAGATTTTGCAAATGTAAATCTACCAGCTATACAAAGTGCCCTCAGAGGCCAAAGAGGGTGTCCTATCCTTTGGAACTGCAGTTATAAGTGGTTGTGAGCCACCATGTAGGTGCTGGGAACTGAACCCAGGTCCTCCTGGAGAGCAGCCAGTGCTCTTAATTACCAAGTCATCTCTCCAGACACTAATTTTATTTTTATTTTATAATATTTTTAAAAAATTAACCTAAGTAAATTCTGGATAATTTCTACCATGAAATTTTATGACTAAATTATTCTGTCAGCACCCAGTGATATCACTGAAACTGTTTGGTAAGTTTGGCTCCCTTGTGCAAATTAGTGAGGACCTGCATAAGAAGATAAGTACATTATCAGCTTTGTTAAACACACATTTCAACTGCAGTAAAAGCCACTTCGATATATTTTTCTGTTCCTGATTTTATAATTGGATTAGACCTTAATTAGAGTAGGCATACTGTATTTTAGAATTACTTAAGCCAAAACACAAAAGCAAAGTTTAAATACTGAGATCTGAACACCAGATGCTACCTTTCCATAATTAAATCTCATGCTCACGGCTTAGTTTGGCCAAGCAGCACCACTGTTCTCTTTAATGTTAAACATTCTGAACTGAGCTGAAGTGTTGCTTTTTTCCCTTGTAAATTTACACTGGTTTTGTAGTTAGAAAAAAGTTCTCGGCCTGACAAGAGGCCTTAGTGGGTAAAGACACTTGCCACCAAGGCTGAGTTTAATTCCTGGACCGGCATGGCAGAAGAGGGCCGACTCTCACGATTTTCCTCTGAGCTGCACATGAGCAGCACAGCATGCAGACAAATACGAAATCAACAACAACAAGATTCTAAACTTAAGGATCCATTCTCTCTGGTTCTGCTTCTTTGTACACAGTGCTACTGTGACAATGTTAAATTATCACTGAAACCCCAAGTGAGTGTCCTCCCTCAAATGGACTGTGTTCTACAGATTTAGAGACTCTTAAAAACGTGGGAGGCAACAACAGAATTGACAGGGAGAAGCCTTTAAGTCCAAAAACAGTCTACATGGTCTTATGCATGAAAACACCACACACATTTCTAATACCTTTAACACTGAAAACCACATACAGATTACTAAAGGGGATTCAAAAATAAAAAAATTAGTCATTAAAGAAATACAGTCAATGTTCAGGCCTTCCTATGGAGACGACTACTGGGGATCCTTTTATTATCACACCACACTTTTCAACCTTTCATATGCATCTGCATGGGAATTTTGCTAATATGCCATTCTATTTGGCAAAGTTAGAGACTGTGTATTTCTAACAAACTACCAGGAACTGCTAAAGATGGTGATCCATGGCTAGCCTCCAAATGGTCGGAATTCAGTGTGTGTGTGTGTGTGTGTGTGTGTGTGTGTGTGTGTGTGTGTGTACAACATGACTATTTCATTTATTGTAAACTCAGATATAGACAAAAAGTGTTAAAATATTCCTGTAATTCATTTATTTACAAGGACCTCTAAAAAGGAATATATTATTATTTTTCAAATCTAACCAGAGTACAGACAGTTGCAGCAATTCCTAAAACAAAAAGCTCACCAGGACTAGTGAGCAAGTATTTAAATAACAGCAGCACAGCCAGCCTCCTATTTGTCAACTAAAAGAAATTTGGTAAAATACTGTCCAGATAAAATAAACTAGATAAATTTATAACTACTAAAGGAAGGACTGGAGAGAGAACTCTATGGATACAGCAACTGCTTTGCGAGCACAAGGACTAATTTTGGCTCTATAGCACCCATGAACAAGCTGGGCAGGTGTGGTGGCCCATCTGGAATCCCAGGGTTTGGGACGGGAAACAGGGCAAACCTGCTAGCTAAACTAACCCAATCAGCAAACTACAGGTGCAGCAAGAAACCCCGCCTCAGTATGTGAAGGGAAGTGCGATCAAGGATAGCAAAAATCAGCCTATGTCCTCCACACGTACCCTGTGCATGCACACCATCACACATGCACACACACACAAGCACAGGCATGGATGCCACCAACACATACACACACAAAATGAGAAATTGAAAAAATTTTAGATTGCCAAAAATCAACTATTGACTTTTCTTGACTTAAAAAGTGATACAAAGGTAAAGTTAATGGGACAAAGGAAAGTTAAGAATTTTTTTTGTTAAGTCTAAGTAATGAGGTAAAAGGTGAATATATTTAAATACTGTACCATGTCTAAGAAATTGCTAAAGAGAGTTCTATTTAGAATGCAAGGATAATTCCTTGTATTCTGCTCATATCTATAAAGTTGTATTTAGAATACACCAATAATTCTTTGTACTCTGTTCATATCGATTAGTTACCAATTTAAAGACAATATAGGGCACTATCTTTTTGTAGCAATCTTGTGGCTTGGAATTTCCTTTTGGTGTGGGTTTGTGTTTGGACACGGCACACAGACACTCCAGTGACGCTGGTGTGGTTTGTGTTTGGACACAGCACACAGACACTCCAACAGCGCTGGTGTGGGTTTGTGTTTGGACACGGCACACAGACGACACTCCAGTGACGCACCTGCAGCGTGACACTCACCTTCCGACAGTGGCTGTAAATGTAGCCTTCCACATCCACACTGACTGCACTTGTGCATTCATCCAAAATGGCAAACTGGGGCTTGTGATAAAATAATCTTGCCATCTAGAGCATAAAAGGAGATAGTTTGTGTAAACAGAGGCAGGCCTAAAGATAAAACTAATAAAGAAAGATAAATTTACTTCAGTTAAATATGTTTTCTGGTGTCTTATAAAGCTAAAAATATGAAAATTGTTCTAACTAAAAAGCATCATTCCTAGAGATAAAAATAATATAAACAAAACAGATTGTTTTTACTGTCATCTTAAACAAAGAGAGAAATATTGTGTTTGGGAAATATTTATTGCTAAGAGAAAAACACAAACTGCTGTGAGATGGGACTGAGTTTTAAAATAAGGAAAGTTCACTAGACAAACAAGTTTCGTGTTTGAACTAGACCTAAAGCTCAGATCACAGATCTCAAGCAGGTGCTGTAAGCGATGGCCCCTGTTAGAGCTCCCGCCAGCATCCTGTGGCACTGCCCAGCCTCCGCTGTGGGCCCGGGTGTGCGCAGTCTTTGGAAGCTTCTGCTGATCTTGTAGATGGACAGACCCTTCATTAGCAAGGCTGTGGGACCTCTTCCCTTACTCCACTCCGAGCGCACTCTACTCTCTGGCAAGGTCTGTCTGTCCTTGTCTCGGACAGTTGTTCTGTCACTTGCCCCCAACAGAGATCATAATGTCCCAAACCAGGCAGGAGACATGTTCCTAAACCCATCCCCTTACATTGTGTGAAACATCCACTCAAACCACTCCCTTCTGGAGAGAAACAGTGAAGCCACTGGCGCCCCCTGCTGCCATCTTCTTCCTTTTAGTGCTTCCCACGTGGCCATTCAGCGTGTGTATGTGGAGTTCTCAGAACTAAATCCCAGATCCTCTTTCTTCTCAATCTTCTCGGCCCTGTCTTAACCCTCTCTCAGCCACTCTCCTTCAGAGTTCCTGGTCTCTGCCGTGCCCCTATCCCAGAGAACACTCACTTTCTCCCAGGATGACACGACCGTCAGCTCCCTCTCTGCTGTCCTCCATTCTCCGTGTAACCAGGGACAATCTATCACATACGCAAGCCAAAGAACCCCACCCGACTTAAACCTTCTCCACAGCTTCCCCTTTCTCATCTCCAAGGTCCTGTGGAGTCTTCCTCCTGCTGCTCAGATCTCGACATCCAGCCAGCACTCAACTACTAGGATAAGGCATCCCAGGCCTTAGAGACCCCGGTGTCACTTTCCTTTCCCTTCCTTCCTTCCTTCTGAAGTAAGGCATCCTAAGCCTTAGACTCTGCATGCCACTTTTTCTTTTCTTTTCTTCTGATTTTGCTGTTGTGTTATTTGTTTCTGTTTGATAGAGGCTCTTATTCTGTGCCTCTGGTGGCCGGAACTCACTATGTAGCTCAGGCTGGCTTAAACTCATGGCAATCCTCCTGCCTCTGCCTCTGGAATGTTGGGACCATGCCTGTGCTATCACTTCAAGCTTATTCTTTCTTAAGTCCCAATGCCAGACTCTGGTCCAGACATCTTTCAAGTGTCTGCTCAATGTCATTCTCTCAATCCAAGTGAACCCTTTATGGAATTGCAACAGTCTGTATGTGGCATCCTGGAGTTTGCATGTTTGCCTAAGCTGTGAGATTCACTAACACAGAAACCATGACTAGACCACTACAACACACCTAACACTTACACTGCCGTTCTAGTCAAATCTACACCAAGTGGATAACTGAAGCAAACTGCTTTCCTGGGGTTTACAGGCATGTGCATGATGTGAGGAAGAGGAAGCAGCAAACAGTCACGATGGCATAGATACAGTTCATTTGACAGCATTTCCCAAGTGCCTCCCTTTCTCCTCATGTGTCTATGTGTGTGTCTCCATCTCCCTCCATGCTGTCAGCTATCTGTCGCCACAAAACAAGGAAGCTGTAAAGCAAATGTTCAAGGCAGCATGCTGCCTGAGCCGAGCTCGATAAGCCACCGATCACCAGTTCTAACATCAACAGTCGGCTTGGCAAGCCCTAACCCACTCAAGTGCAGTTTCCTTCATGGCTGGGATATTCAGGATTACTTAACAGGACTGTTTTAAAGATATAATGTTAGCCTTTGGAATCCGCTTGGCATATTGGCTATCATCTACTAAGCACTCAAAAATTAGCTGTCACTGACCTGGATAACAGCCTCTCTTTTTCAAATAAAAAAAGGAGTTCTTCTGCTGAGAGGTAAAATAGTATGGTAGAAAACTGAAGACTGGGGCTGGGAAGATAGCTCAGTGGGTAAAGTGCCAGTTCTGCAAACATCAGGACCTGAATTCAAATTCCCAGCACCCATTTTAAAAAGAAAAAAAAAAAAAAAAAAGCTGGGCATGGTGACCGCCACCTCTAATCCAGTGCTGGAAGGCTGGAAAACGGACCCCGTGGGGATCCCGTGGCCTTACTGGCCAGCCAGCCCAGCCAACTTATGAGCTCCAAATTCAGTGATAGACTCTGTCTAAAAAAGTAAATATACAAGGCATCTGATGTAGACCTGTGGAGTCACCAACAGTTGTGAGCTGCCATGTGGGTACTAGGCATCAAACCTGGGTCCTCTAGAAGAGCAAACAGTACTCTTAACTACTAAGCCATCTCTCTAGCCTATTTTCTTGATTGCTAACTGAAGTAAGAAGGCCCAGCTCAGAGAGCCTGCATGGAACCGAACTAGGCCCTCTGAATGTGGGTGACAGTTGTGTGGCTTGATGTGTTTGTGGAGCCCCTGGCAGTGGGACCAGGACTTAGCCCAGGTACACGAACTGGCTTTTTAGAGCCCATTCCCTCTGGTGGGATGCCTTACTCAGCCTTCGTGCAGGGGGAAGGGGCTAGATCCGGATCCAACTTGGTAGGCCAGCCTGTGCTGACTACCCAAGGGAGGCCTTACCCCCTATGAGGAGGGGATGGGGGTGATGAAGGATGTGGAGGTGAAGGGGGAACAGGAGAAGAGAAGGGAGGAGAAACAGGGGTTGGTATGTAAAAGGAAAGAAAAACATTTTCAAATAAAAAATCATTTAAAAAAAAAAAAAGGTGGCCCAGCTCCCTGGAGCAGTACCATCCTTGGGCGAGCAGTAAGCAGCATCCTCTGTGGTTTCTGCTCTAAGAGCCTTCCTTGAGTTCCTGGCCCGACTTCACCAGACGATGGTCTGTAACATGTACACTAAAACAAAGTTTCTTCAGATTGGTTCTGGGCATGTGTTTATCACAACAAACAAAAGCAAACTGGACAGAAACTGGTACCAACAGCGGAGTTTTGCTACAATGGACCTAACCAATGTGTTTTTTGGAAGGACAGTGGAAGCATTTGGAACTTGGAGCTGGAAAAGCCATTTGCTGCTCAGAGTTTAATGGGCTGTTCTGTGGGAGCTTGGAATATAATAAATAATTAGGGGATGGTATACTGGAAGAGTAAGTGCTGGGAAGCAGGGGGAAAATCTGTTTTTTTCCAAGGTAATTTTGTTATTATACATTAAAAAAAAAAAATCAAACAGTGCCTTTCCAATTCTTCTTTATACTAGGAAAGTTTTAAAATTCTAACTAACTTTAAGAGTAGGTCAGTTAAGGGGAGAAACAAGTTACAGTAACAGTGAAGGAGGACAATGGCAAAGGCCAGCATGGAGAACTCACACTCCCAGCGCTTACAGCCACTCAGGGAGAGCAGTCAGAAGAGAGGAGCGTGCTATCTAGAGGGAAAAGCTACAGAACGATGGAACCACGATCGTCATCCTCACAGGGCCAATGTCTAGAAAAATGAACTGGTGGGATATGGTAGATCTACAGCTTTCCCTTTCACAGAACAATAGCATTACTGATACATTTTTTGGAATTCCAAATTTATATGAAGTTGAACATTTCCTAGCACTTTTATTACAATTTAAACTAACTAATACTTTAATAGTTTAATACTTTGCTGAAAAAAGACAAAACTCTGTGTTCGGATTAGCCAAACTCTGGATTCTAACAGTGACTCTAAGAAGTATTTGGTACCAGTCTTCAGAGGATACTGACCGCCATCCTTTGTTTTTCTCCTCCGCTGAGTACATCCATCCAGTCCTGAACACTGTCCCAGCCTCCTTCCCTTTCAAGGATATGACCCAACTGCACATTATCCAAGTACTCCTTCAGCACCTTTATACAAAGATGAAAGACCGAAAAAGTGTATTAGAAGCTAATGACCTGTCTCACCTTATTGTTAGACTAGCTCATTAACTCCATGGCCAACCACGTGGACAGGCAGGTGCTCTTCAGAAAAGAAATGGCACAAAGCTGACCTGAACGGTCAGTCTCTAACCATACTACCCTTAACCGCCTGGGAGCTTCAGGACGGTAATGGTGTCATATAACTGAAGGATGGGAGTGGTGAGGATACAGCACTGTCACAATGGTTAAAACATGCCATGAGTAACACTTAAGGGAAGCAGCTCCTCCTGCCACCGCCTGGAGAGCTGCAACCATGGTTTGGAAGGCTTTAGTTTAGGCCAGATAGGCCACACTATCTGATGTCTAAAATAACAAACAATCTGAAGTGGGTATGCTTGGTGAATGTAGGATGTGATCACCCCTTACTTGGTCAGATATCCCCTTCTTCTTCTGATCCTCTTTTCCGTCTGGATATATCACTTGGTCTCTCAGTGTTCCCAGGGTCATATAGGGTCGCTAGTAGTCATAATGACATAGCAAGAGTCATTAAAAGTACATTTTGAGATAGTAAACCAAAAATTCTTAAAGGTTACAAAATAGCTCAAAGTCTTACCTGAGGAACATAAAATAATTTTCCTCTCTCAGGTTTAGTAAGACGTCCTCCAAAAAGAGGCCATAACTATGAACACAGATAGAGGACAGAAGTGACTGTGACATTCAGAACCTAACAGCATTACAAAACAAGATGGTAAATTTTGGAAACCATATGCACATACTTCACCAAGAACACGGAAGAGGGAACTCTTTCCACATCCATTTGGACCACAAATCAGAACATTGGCCCCAGATCGAACCTGAAAGACAGTAAGTCTTTGAATTAACTAATTAACTAAATTAATCATGTGTATTTCCTTAGAGCCAAAAAGCTCTCTGCTTATTATTAGCTTCTCATTTTACCTGTAAATGTGGTGTAGGTACAACTATGGAGTGATGTAGGGAGAAACCTTTGACTTCCACTTACTTTCAATTTTTCCTTTTGCTCTTAAAAAACATCATTAATTTAGACTGTTCAATGTGTAGTCTTAATCAGAATGTAAAATTTGAAAGCTTAAAAAAATCTGAGGATTCTCAACAATAATAATTGTGTATATTCATGTTTATTAACATTTTTAACTGAACTGTAGACTACATTCTTTTACTTAGAGGTCTATATTTACTTAATAGTATGTCACAAATATTCCTCCAGGTCACTGTATTTATGTTCCTTTTGCCCATTCTTTTAATGCCTGTAGTACATACTAAGAGTGTACCATTTTACCTAAAAATTCCCCAATGATTAGATATGTAGGTCATATTTTCTTTTGCTCTTTTAGGTAACACTGTGCATAACTTGTGTCAGCAAGAATATATACAAAAAATAAGTTAAATTGTATACTACAGACTCAGTACTGTGGAGAAAAGCCACAGGGTAAAAAAAAAAAAAACAAAACCCTCACACAAAGTGAGAACTGAGAAAACTTCCAGAGATGTGTAAGGAGCTTATCATGAGAAAACCACTCCTGGCCACCCATAGCAAGCAGGCATGAGGACAGGAACGAGCCTCATCTCACAGGACAGACAGACTGCTTCTGCTGGAGAAGACAGCAAAGAGAACAGTAGCACTTACTGAGCTCAGAGAGGTAAGAGGTAGGAAGAGGTAGTGGTCAGCAAGTCCTAAACATAGCACAAACCAACTGAGGGCTCCTACTGAGATAAAAGACAGCCATCAGCATTATTTAAAGTAGCTAAAAGGTAGAAACAGCCCCCCAGCAGGTGAAGGGCTAAACAGAATGTAGTCTATGCACACAATGAATACTATTTATCTTAAAAAGGAACAAACTATGCCTGTACTCAGAGCTCATAAAGGATGAGGGTTAAAATCCTAGCCTGCAGAAAGCACATTGTTTAGCTCTAACACAACATGAAAGCAAGTAGGAAATGTGTGCTTTCTGATGGCCAAGTCGGCCTTATGACGACTTTCCAAAGAAAGGAATACTGATTTTCAAAAGTGAGTCAGATGGGCACAACTAACTGGAAATGATATAAATAAATAAATAAATAAATAAATAAATAAATAAATAAATAAATAAATAAATAAATAAATAAATAATTGAAGGATGTTTATTCCATAAGGAAACTCCATGTTGAGGAAAATCCTGGGAGACAAACAAGAAAAGACCAAATCTAACCTAGAGGTGAGGCAGAAAAGGGATTCTTAACAGCAGACCAAGAGAACAAGAAGACAGTTTGCAGAGAAAGAGAAACAGGGACCAAAGGAAGCTAACAGGTGAGTCAGGAACACGGCTATGAGGGGAGAAAGAGGCTATGGCAAATCTGGGCAAACTCGGGCCTCACACAGACCTGGCCAACGAGACTGGAAAAGCACGCAGCAGTGGGCAGCCGGTCTGAGTGGAGCTCAGGCAGCCGGTCTGAGTGGAGCTCAGGCTGCTGGCGGGAAGAAGGAGCGGCCGCCTTACAAAGGAAGCAGCCTGCGACTGAGAGAAGTGCTCCTCACCCCAGGCCTGTCAATATTTACCAACCACGGTACAGTTTCTACTTCCTGTTACAGGGCCTGGCTGTAAAGGAGGCATGACAATGATACAATACTCACTTTGCATAACTAACATTTTCTAATTCTTAGTTACTTAAGACAGTACATATATTTAGTAAATATAAATTAGTAAGAGCAGAAAACTAAAGAATTACCTAAGATTGTAAGAGTTTAAAAGCAAATCTAACAATACTCTTTATTTGATAAGCTATCAGAAAACATTTCAGTGGAAGCAGCTAAAAAACACATACAAACATCAGCACGAGGGTACACACAGAGGAGGGTTCTAGAGCAAGACTGTCCAATACTGTCACACATGGCTATTGAAATCAAGCTAATTAAAATCAAATACACTCTACAACTGAGTCTGATGACTGCGCCTGCCACACTTTTAATGCTCAAGACCCACCCTGGCCACAGAGCGGCCCCGAGTTCTCCTGGGCAGTGTGCGCTACAGGACGGTATCTGGAACTTAAGAGACCATTTGTAGGGTAAGAACGTGTTACTAATTTTTAAGACTTCGAGCTCAGAAAGTCTCAACAGACAAATAACCTAAAACAGTAATCCTCAAACTTCAAGATACAAATCACACGAAAACAGTCACGGACAGCCTTTTCATTTTACCTATCATATCACCAGTTTAATTAGGAAAACACAGTGAATCAATATCACTGTTTACCTGACTGACAGCCTACTGGCTACGGGGGTGCAACTGTGCTGCTAGTTTTCCAGGGACTAGTGAGTCGGCTCAGGAGGTGAGGATGCTTCCTGCCAAGGCTGATGACCTGAGTTCAACTCCTGGAGCCCATACAGCAGATGAAGAGAACCCACTCACTCAAATTGTGTTCTGACCTTGACATACTTAATAAGACATGTGCTCCACCCCCAACACACAACACACCAAATATATAAATAAAATGTAAAGAGAGAGAATGACCTTGTATTGTTTGTATGGATATAAATCTTCCTGCATAAACACCCCCCTCAAAGAGATTTTTGATTTAGAGTTTGTTATTTAAGGCAATTAAAGTTGTATTTGCATGTTTAAGTTTTCATTATACATGGTAAATCTAATTAGATGGATCTTTTTGTCATGGACTTTATTTGCAAAAAAATTTGTTTGAAGATTATTTTTTCATTTGTGCATGTGCATGCTCGCATAAGTTTATGTGTACTATGTGTGTGCAGGAGCCTGCAGAGACCAGAAGAGGATGTCAGATCTCCGAGGACTGGAGTTACAGACAGAAGTCAGCTGCCATGTGGGTGCTGGGAACAGAAGCTGGTTCCTCTGTGAAAGCTTAAGTTCTAACTGTTGAGCTATCTCTCCAACAAAACAAATTTGATGCAGTAGTAATCCCTGAAAATTTTAAAGCCCAATTAATTTTAAGAAAAATGAGATTTCTAGATGGTTCAAAGAGTTAGTTTCAAATGTAATAGTATGGGTTTAGATAGAGACAACTCAAACCTTAAAGTTAATTTAAATATTCAAATTTCCAGTTCATATTTTGAAGATAAATTAAACTCTTATATGAACACTTAAAAACTTACTTCAAAACTAAGATCTCGGATCAAGATATCTCCATTTGGTGTTGCTAAAGGTACATGATCAAACCTAAAAAAGGATATTAATAAAAAAGGGAAATTAATAACAAGTAAGGAACTCAAATAACTCAATACCCCAAATAGAAATAACCCAACACAGTAACGACTATTCAGACACTTCATAAAAGAATACATTCAGAAGACAAGATGCAACTGAAAAGGGTCTCGAGATCTTAACCACCAGGGAACTGCCTTTCCAGACTGCAACGAGTGTCACCCTGTGAGGACGACAGTTATCACGATGAAGGTAAGTGCTGGCGAGATGCAGAGGAATGGGAACCCTTACCTACTGTTGGCAAGAATGTAAACAGCATAAATTAAACAACATAGAGGGTCCTCAGAAAAATAAAGACTTAACTGCTATAAGTTCTCTGCTTCAGAGAGACAATCCTATTCCAGAGAGATAACCAAAGGAAATAAAATAATTGTCGCAGTGTGGTATCTGCACTCCCATATGCACTGCAGTATTTATTAAACAAACCAAAAGGGGAACCTGAAAGTCTTTCAAATGATAAAAAAGAAAAAATATATCATATGTGTAAGCACACACTCATACAAAGGAGTATTATCCAGTCTTTAAAAAAAAAAAAAAAAAAAAAAAAAGCTGGAGAGATGGCTCTGTGGTTAAGAGCACTTACTGCTCTTGCAGGGGACCCAGGTTTGGTTCCCAGCACCCATATCAGGTGGCTCACAACCACTTGTAGCTCCAGTTCCAGGGGATTCAATGCCTTTTTCTGCTCCCACATGCACCTGCACAAACATGGTACACACGCAGACAAGTAGGAACACACACAAGCACGTAAGTAAAAATCTGCTTTAAACTCTCAAAACCACAACATATTTGTAAAAGAACTCAATCAGTCATTTTTGATGGTAGAGAACATCACGGTAAACAAAGTAGGACAGAAAAAGAAACACAGTTCATATATAACTTATATGCAAAATCTAAATCATTAAATTCATAGAAGAGAGTGTTGCTAGGGACTGAGGGAAGGGAAAATGTAAGTGATGTCATTCAGAAAGTATGAAGGAAGATGAGTAAGTTCTAGAGGTCTAACCAGCAGCACAGGGACAACAGTTAAAAACATGCTCTACACACATGAAATGGCCTACACACATTCAGATGAAGAGACAACAGATACAATAATTTGCTGGAATAGGGACACTGTTTTACAGTGTGTATGTAATATCAAAACATCAAATTATAGGCATTAAATATATATAACTTTTATGTCAATGACACCCCAAAGCTATTTAAAATTTTTAAAGTCAATTTTACATTACACACGTAACTACAAGTTGATGAGAAAGGCTGCCATGAAGTGAAGTAAATACATATAGTACAGCCCAGCCTTTTCCTGTACATACTTTATAATGTTGTCTGCATTGATGATTTCTCCAGTACCAGGTATCAAGGGGCTAACTTGTGCTCCTTCAGTACCTTAAATGGAAAACAATTATTAAAACATCATATATTAGGAGCAACTTAAAACTGTGACTACAAACTGGGGTGTTTATATTTACCTTTTTCCTGCTGCGATACCATCGTGCGTTCATATTTGCCATGATTTAAATCCTTTAGTACTTGCATTAATTCTGTAATCCGAGCCGTAAAACTAAAATTTAACAGAAACCATAATCAAAGTCAGGGTATTACTACATCTTTTATATAAACTGAAATGTCTAAAATTATAACTTAGCTTAAGGGACATAAAAGAAGTCTCATCAGCATAAAATACTAATGATAACACATGTGCCCTATTTTGCTTCAGTAAAAGAGAAAGAAAAAAAGGGAGGAGGTTTCACAGGATCCTCTTCTCAACAACACCCTATTAAGAGGCAAGACAGCAGTGTTTCCCTTTGTCAAGTATTCTTGTTAGTACACTTTGCAGACCCAGGAAGGTTGGGTCCTGAGCTGCTGGAGTGACTTCTTGTCACAACTAATACTTTCTACCAGAAGCAAGGATTCACTAAAGGCATACTACTTCTCTCTAAATGGGGAAACTGAAGCTATTTCTGCTCTCATACTCTGAAGAAGGGAAAAGATGAAGAATTCTGAATATATGATGGAGTTCATGGGACAATAGAAATCAATCCAGTAGCAAGAAGTTGGGGATTATAAGAAGGTCATGGAGGTCAAAGAAAAGTTTTCTCATCAGAGAAGCAAAGGGGGATAGTTATTTGTTTGTTTATTTGGTATAAATAACAAAAAGAAACTCCCAAAAGGAAACCTTGGGGTGACAGATACAATTACACTCTTGGTGTTGATAGTTTCACAGAAGCATACCTGTTCTTATATTCATGATTTTGTGTGCATTAAATATGATGTTTTTAATATACCAATCACTCCTTAATAAAATGTTTTTTGTGGGGAGGAGAAAAAAGAACCCCTGCAAGGAAACCGACATGGATGAACTCATACAAGTCTGAGGAAGTTACTAACGAGTACAGCACATAGCAGCTTCTCAGGAACAAGGCCTCACAGTGTTGACCTCTGTCTTGTTATGAAGACCCTAGCAGCTATGACAGAGAGAGAACGCAGGGACAGATACAGGCCTAGAGAGCTGGTGGCAGCAAACTTCCTTAGACAATCCCAAGTCTGGGGTACTTTTCACACCTTGGTATGGTGTGAGGTTTCTGCCTTCTATTTCAGCTTCTGAGCTGTTCAATCCCATCCCATGATCTAAAACAGCTTTGCTACTGGGTAACATATCTACAACTAACCACAGATGCCATAAGGTAATTGGTTTATTCCACTAAAATCAACCTCTATTCATTTATTTAGCTAAGATGTTGGTATAAACCCTTAGGGGTAAAAATCCATAGTTGAGAACAAAAATGTTCAAATGTGAAACTTCTACTCACTAACTTAAATTTCTGTAAGAAAGGGCTGCCAAGAATGATAATTTTCCAACTTATTTGAGGCCAGAGTTTGTGAAATACAGCAAACATAACACTATTCTGGATAAGATTCAAAACAGCTGTCTTCAGGAAGCACAAAAAGTTCACTGAGAGAGAGGTCTTCCTTAATTTTCTACCCAAACTAGCTTCTAGAGTAGGAAGGGCCAGTTGCTCCCTCATCTTCATCTCAACTGGGTACCACATTATAAGAACAACATATATTTACAACTGATTCAATGCATTGCTTATTATTACTAATCTTACCCAGCCAGTCTAGTCATTTCACGGCCAGCCAAAACTATACGGCCCAGAGCTTGAGACATTCTCAAAAGCATTCTTCCACTTTGGTAGTAATCCTTAAAGAGAAATAAGCATTAGATTTTGCTCACATTTCTAAAATAAAAGCAAAGCCTTAATGTGAATTTGCCCTCATCAGTATTATTATTTCACCTCTAAGAGCTCTGAATGTGTACTATGAAGGTGCCGAGGATGGGAGAGATCTAGGAAAGGGCGACTGACAACCAGGTACCCGACTACTGTGGCAACATCTGGAAAAAAACAGTTAAATTAAGTATCATTACTTCACTTGCCCCACAAATCATGTCGCACCATCTCTTTTAAAACATACTTACATTTGGCAATGATGCTATCAATGAAACCCATAGAAAACCGAAAGAAAATGAAATTATGTAGGTGTTCCACCTGAAAGAAAACAAAAGAAAAATGTCTTTTTTTTCTTTACAAATAAAAGAACTAATTTTCCTTAAGGATAAAGCACAGTTAATTTACAAACAGTAGCTATGATTCATCACTCTGTTAAGACACCAAACAATGAGCACAACACTGAGAAAAAAATCAGGTTCCAAACACACACCCTATCCAACTATTACTTAACAACAACATATTACACATAATAGTATAATGCTGTTTACAATACTGCTAGAGACATACAAACTCATCAGTCACTAAAGCAAAGAAGAAGGATGAAAATCCATTTCAAATAGGCTTGTCAGAGAAGGTAAAGCTGTAATAAGCTGTTAGTATTTGGGCTGATAATCCCAGGCTGAGAGAAGCGATGTGAAAAGCTGGTCAGTGGACAACAGTCTTAGCGAAAGGAGCTTTAGATGCTCTAATCAGTGAGCACTCTAAAAACTCAAGTTAACATTAAATGGCAAAAATACAATTTTTGAAATAGCTCAAGACAACATTTTAGTATTTGTAAAATATGTACTTAATATCACAATTTCCATTAAAATACTAGCTCCCTAGAGACAGGATTTCATCTATCATGCTCACCACCTAATTATCATTAGCACCTAATGATGGCACCTACCAAGCACTCTAGCTGGTACTCAGTATCTGCTGAATGAGTAAAACTATTTGAATAAAAAAATTTCCAAGCATCAAATAAAGAAAAACTGTTTTTAAAAAATCTCTATATTCCAAATCAAAGGTCACTTGCGTTATCAATCAAGTTTTATTAGCATAGCCACACCCACTCACATATATATTATAGTTCCAACAGAGACTATGTGGGCAGGAAATGTAATATATATACATAACTATCTTGTCCTTTTTAGCTTGCTGATTCCTGGTGTAAAATGTTCTCCACTAATCTGTGGGAGCTATTAACTTAATCATCCAATGAGACTTCTTTAACAACCACTGCAAAAATGCACAAGACTATTTTAGTAAATCATCCCATTTAATAAACGGAGAATTCAATGTTAATGCAATAGTTTTAAACTTTTATAGTTTAAAACACAGTATAAAGACTTGCTATTTAAAATACATCTTTAACTATGTATTCATACCTATATAAGCGCACACACAAAAAAAAACCATGTGACCCTCAAGTGTTTTGTTTTGTTTGTTTGTTTTTTTAAGATAGTTTCTCTATGTAGCCCTGGCTATCCTGGAACTTGCTCTGCAGACTAGGCTGGCCTTGAACTCAGAGATCTGCCTGCCTCTGCCTCCCAAGTGCTGGATTAAAGGTGTGAGCCACCACCACCTGGTTACCCTCAAGTCTTTATCTTACCAGTTTTCGGAAGACTGAGTGGATTGTCTGCTTTTCTCGTTTATTCCCATTGTAAAAGGCAATTTCTTCACTATTAAAGAAAATAATTCAGCAATTAATGTCAATGTTCTCTCACCCTGGAATGTAACTGACATGCGGTGTTCAATGAGTGAACATTTATGTTTGTATGGACATCTTGGTCCAGTGCGATGGCCCAGGGGTAAAGTACATGCTGTGCAAGCCGGCCAACCTGAGCTCAATCCCCGAAACCTACAGAAAGGTGGAGGGGAGAACGAGCTCCACAAGGCTGCCCTCGGACCTCTAAGAGCACGCAGTAGCAAGTCGCCTCCTCAATAATAATAAAACAAATAATAATAATAAAGAGAAGTAGCTGTCACTGAGAGAATGTTTGGCATAAGCCAAGCCAGGGACTGTACCTGAGATCCAGTTTCTAGCCAAGCTTTAGGAGTATATGGGCACACACCTGACTGGATCACAGACTGGACTATAAGCTACCTGTGTGTAACCTGGTGTTAAAGATGAAGTGAGCAAATGCTCACAAACTGTAACTGAGGCAGAAGAGGAAGACACTTTGATATAAAGGAAGATTAGGCTGGGGTGGACATTATAGACCACATGTTAAATTGCAGACCTAAATCAGAGCGGGGACAAAAATAACAAAAAACACAAGTAGTGCTATTTTGATAGACAGCCTTTGAAAAACTGAAAAGCCTCAAGTCCCGACAGTGCTGCAGTGCCCTCAGGGCTAGATGCACCAAAGCTCTTCTTATTCTTGTCCCACACCATTCCTCAACAATTTCCTGAGAGTGTGAATGGGTCCACAAGGGCCAAAAGATCTTCAGCAGGGAAAAACCAGTTCCATACAGATGAAGAAAGGCTCAGTATAATTAGATAAATTCTTTAGAAGCCAGTACCTTACAGGTGAAGAAAGGCTCAATGTATTATACATTCTTTAAAGTTACAGAACCAGCAGAGCTCAACAGCTAAAATTATCACTCTTGTCTAAACTAAAGCTTATAGTCTTTCTACCCTGTAAATATGATGTAAACTGCCCAAGTAAAGGACTTCCGGAGTTACAGATGGTTGAGCCACCATGTGGGGGCTGGGAATCAAAGCCAGGTTCTCTGCAAAAGTAACAAGTGCTCTTAACCATACAGCCATCTCTCCAGCCCCTACAAAGTACTTCTTACAGCACCAGAAAGTAAATATCTACATGGAAGCCCAAATACCACACCTTAGACACATTGAGAATACGTGTGGGGCTGGTGAGATGTCTAGGCAGCACTTGTATGCAGGTTGACAATTTGAATGCCACCTCTGAACTCAAGGTGGCAGGAAAGAACTGAGACCTCCACATGGGTACTATTACGCACCTGCGCACGCAATCTATAATCAAGTGCACACAAGAGTTAACCATTGGAAAGGGATCTGTGGTGGTTTGAATGAAAATGGCCCCACAGGTCCGTAGGGAATAGCACAATTATGAGATCTGGCCTTACTGGAGTAGGCATGCCTTTGTCAGAGAAAGTGCATCACTAGGGGGTGGGCTTTGAGGTCTCAGAAGCTCAAACTAGGCCTACTGACTCAATCAGTTAATTCCTGCTGTCCACGGATCCAAATGAAGAATTCTCAGCTACTCCTCCAGCACCATGTCTGTCTGCATGCCACCAAGCTTTCTGCCATGATGATAATGAACTGTAAGCCAGCCCCAATTAAATGTTTTCTTTATAAAAGCTGCCAAGGTCATGGTGTCTCTTCACAGCAATAGAAACCCTAACTAAGACAGGGTGGTACGTAAGGCAAGACAGAGCCAAGAGGAGAGCCAGCAAGAGCCACAACTCCAATCCTACTGTGCCCTTGACTGCTCTGTCCTAAGGATTCTTGTGTGGCACAAGCAATGTGCCACTATGGGAGCATGTTTGTTTTCTAGTAAAAGCATCCCATAAACAGCTTTTCACTAACTGTACCTATTATTCCCCTACCCCCACCCCCCAGCATGAAACTCCACATACAAAATTAATATGATTTTAACAAGGAAGCAAGAGAAGAGGACAGTATTTTTTTGATTGTTGGTTTGGTTTTTTTTCAAGACAGGATTTCTTTGTGTAACAGCTCTGACTGTCCTGGAACTTGCTCTCTAGACCAGGCTGGTCTCGAACTCATAGAGATTCACCTGCCACTGCCTCCTGAGTGCTGAGATTAAAGGCATATGCCACCACCACCTAGCTGGAAGAGGAAACTATTAAGAGAGAGATCTCCTAAGTAATTCTGTAACTTCCTATAGAGTAGCCTACATAGTATTACATAGATACTAGGACCCTCAAAATTGACTTAAAGTTGGCAGATGGACACAAGAAAATTTACAGAGCATTCTAGCTCCTGATCAAAACCTAAGCCAAAAGCATATATGTAGAGTTAATCCTCATAACAACTCCATTATCTATCTACGAGAAAGTGAAACTATGAATAACTTGCTAAAATCACGTAATATAGAAAGAATTGATAAGTAGAAAGGGTACATTTTGAAACTATTATGGATGGCTTCAATACCTACATTTTTTTTTCCTTCATATTTTAGATCTCAAAACTGTCCAGAGGTCTAAGGGCATCACTTCAATGGAAGAGTACCTGCCTAAATTCAAGAGATCCTGAGGCTCCCCTTCTCCCCACAAAAAAAAAAAAAAAAAAAAAAAAAA